TGTGTGTGTGTGTGTGTGTGTGTGTGTGTGTGTGTGTGTGTGTGTGTAGGTCAAGAAAACACCCACAAGAAATGCAACAATGAGCCTGCAGTATACAATCCGTACAGTCCTGTATTTGTGTGTGTGTGTGTGTGTGTGTGTGTGTGTGTGTGTGTGTGTGTGTGAGAGGTGGAGAGATTGTATCTATACAGCCGGTGACCATGCATGAGTGCGTTCGCGTGTGCTGTCGTGCATTTGGCCTTTGTAGGGCATGTGTTCATGCCTGCCACGACCGGAGCTGCTTGATTGAGTTTGACACGTTTTAGTGTGTGTGTGAGCACGTTCGTGTGTTTCCGTATTTATGAGGACCGAGTGTCCTCGCAAGGCCAGTAAAGGTTACGTGGTTCCTGTGAAGTGAGGACCCCTGTGCCAGGAAGTCCAGTTCAGGATTAGATTGTTTAAGTTTAGTGTGAAGGATGGAGTCAGGATCAGGTTTAGGGTTGAGTTTGGAGAAAAGATCATGTTTGTTTTTTACAGTTATTAATATTTGGGATGATTGTTTTCATTTTTTAATGAATCAACTAATTGCTCTCTCTGTTCTGTAACACATCTGAAAGCAGTGAGGGGATGTCAATACGCACAAACACTAGCAGATGTTTCTGCTCATGAAGATCATGTTTTATGATCAAAAGCTCCAGAACGGCGACTAAACTGACCTCATAGTAAGAGAAAATAAATGAAGAGGAGTAATGAAAGATAAATACTATGGAAGTAATACGTAGTAGCAGTAAAAGAAAATCACGTGATGAAGAATAAACGCATTCAAATAAATGTAAAGTGTCAACTGAAGAGCTGACTATAGTTTCCCGTTTTACTTACTAATATCCTAATAAACAACTACGAAATCATTTTACGTGGCAGAAATGTGTTTTATTTTGTCTTCTTTCATAACTTTCATCATCTTCTTGCGACCCCTGGGATTAATCTCATGACCACTTTGGAGGATCCCGCGACTTAGGTTGGGAACCGCCTTTCACAGACGACGTCTCCGACCTGATTGTGGATTTCATGGCACCAAATTAAATTAGCTGTTTGATGCCGTTTGTTCCACGTGAGTTTGATGAATGCATCGGGGGGGAACGGAGCCACGGAGCTGAGAGGGGTTTGTGGGGGAGGAAAAAAAAAAAGATATATGAAAAAAGTATAAACCCTAAATCCTATTGTTGTAATCCCCAATCCCCTGAGCTGTGATGGCGGGTGAAGAGGTAGATTAGCGGTCCGGCTGCCGCTGCACTTTCAGGTGAATCAGACTCGGAGAGAGGAACGTGGGCTCAGGATTGACCCACATCCGGCACGCCGAACCTTTTGCATGTTTCTTTTTATTTTTCTGTGACACACGACGAAAGCAGGAGGTGAAATTAGGCCGGCGGTCCTGTTACATCATTCGAGTTTTGCTAAAAGCAGCTCGTCTGTTCTGTTGACGTCAACATTTTCACAGCTGAGGCCATTTTTTGTTAGTGAGGACTTCTTATCGGGGTTTATTTTGCTGTCATGTTGTGCTGCTGAAGGTGAATTTAGGACAGAAGCTGAGCTGAGTTCTGTGTTTCTTGTCGTTCATTACATGTGACCGATGGGCTTTTCCTGTCTCGCGGTGAGTTCAGGTGACTGAAGTCACTGGCTGTGAATTATTCATGAGGGGTTCTTTACCCTGAACATGTAGCACGAGGCAATTGTATGTGAATATTCACACTTAAGCTGTTACTTCTGCCTTTTCACACGTGTTGGAAAAATAAATGCGGTTTGTGGCGCTGTCAGGCCATTTTAATGAAAGCAGCAACCAAATGACAGAGAGATGGAACGGAAAGTGGAAATGAATATTGGATGAAAGTTTAATGAAAACAGATGAAGCTCCACAGAATGAAGATAAGAATAGGACAAACATAAAGACGGTTTTAATAAATCTGCTGCGTCACTAGTGAGTTCCATAAACCCGAACCGGCAGAAAGCAAAGATGAACCCCAGAACACTTTGTTTTTATTCCTGTTAGATTGGCTGCTCTATTTAATTAAAAAACACTCCAAAGATGTGATTAAAACCTTTTTCTGATATTTGATGAGTCAGGCATTAAAGGACTAGTTTGATATTTTTTGAGCTGAGGTGCAACCAGCAGCCGGCTAGCTTAGCTTAGCACAAAGACAGAGCTGCTGCTTTAGATGCACAAAAGAATCCTTTAAAAGACAGATTTACTTCAATTTGATTTATTTTATAGTTCATGATAATCAAAAAAAGGGAAAAGACTCAAAATACCAACAAATCAGAACTTTTCAATCCATCAAAAACAAGATTGTCTTTAGATGTAATACAGCTGGTGAAGACAATATACAATGTAGTACGGAGCACAACTACTCACAAACTAGTAATACTACGCTGTAAAAACCCTCAGCTACACGTAAACGCAATGAAGTACTGTCAGCATAATGTACATGAAATATTAATAGTAAAAGTATTAAAAGTAACGGTGAGCGCAATTTAAGATAGTTTTATTTCAAATGAACGACTTAAAAGTCAAAAGCACAATATTTCCCTCTGAAGAGTAGCGGATAAAACGTATAAAGTGGCATTAGATGGAGGTACTTGAGCAAAGTACAAGTACCTCATAAGCGTACTTAGTGTCCTTAAACGTACTTGCTTCCCACCGCTGGAGCACAAACCACCTTGACTCATCACGAACCCTTGAAAGCATCTTGTGTTTTCCACTAGAAACTAACAGGACTTCTGAGGACACGAAGGAAACACAGAGAGGAATTTAAGGTATTTGCATTTGAAACAGGATTCTGCCGAAAGGTTTGTATAATGTGCTCCAAATGTAGGATTTATTCAAAAGTGTAAAACAGTTTTAAATTCAGCTCCTCGGGTCTTTTTTACTTTGTATTCAAGCACGATGAATAAACCTGGAGAATAAAACCCCCCCCCCCCCCCCAATAAGAACGTCACCGTTAATCCCGGCGGCTCT